CCGAAGTGGCTATTCTGAAGGATTGAGGTACAGCTGTGATGTGACCGCATTCTGTCCTCTAAGCTGTGCGACTGACAGGCCGCAAGGCGATGGTTAGGTGTGATATATCAACTCTATACCACCAGAGTAACTCCTGGCCGATCACTTACAAGATCTAACCCATAGACTTACCTTCTGACTCCTGAATGAGGTTCATTTTGTGTTCTCACCATGGTGTTTTGGCAGATCTGCACATTCCTAACAACAGCTCAGGTGCGATGGATTGATGACCAGAAAGTCCCCTATGCCGTGAAGGGGAATGAATGGGTGGGATATGACAACAAGTGCAGCTATAAACACAAGGTAAGATCTTTAACATTTTCTAGTGAGCTTTACTGACATTCTGCTCCTGCTCTCGGAAAGCGCTTACCTTCAATGCTGTGTATTTCAGAGTCTCTGAGCAAAGGGATATATTTGCAGCATCATTCACGTGGCTTTAAACCACTGTGAATGTGATAGGGATGTTTCCCAGAGCATTTCTTTTTGAGCTGGGGTGCTCTGCTGTCTCACCAATCACTGAGCCATGGCTGTGTACCCAGTTACTTGTTTCAGGCTGTACTGAAATTCCTAAAGGAATTCTTAAGCAGCTGTGGAAATGTGACCAATAGTTGTGGGCTTTTTGTTGGGCAGGTGAAATACTTGAAGGAGAAAAATTTCGGCGGTGCCATGGTATGGGCCATTGATCTGGATGATTTCCTGGGCACTTTCTGCAATGAAGGAAAGTATCCGCTAATAAGTGAACTGAAGAGACTCCTTGAAATGAACGGTAAGCTGGTGCTGATTATTATTGCAGGCTGAGATAATTAGAAAGGTCAGTGCAGATTGCACCTCTAAAATCTGGGACTCTCTGATCCGGCACGACCAGGGATGTTCCAGGATCAGAGTGTGCTGGTGTGCTGGGGGGATTGAGGGTCCAGGAGCCCGGTTCTGTGTGGGGGTGGGACGGTGATATGTGGCTCTGTGGGAGTTTGGGAGAGCGGGAGCTGGAAAGTGAGACGTTCAGCTCAGCTGTGCTGGGGGGCGGGTGGGAGCCAGCGTGTGGCTCTGCTGGGCTGCAGGAAGTGAGGTGGGGACTAGCG